CTTTCTTTAATTTTTTAAGTCTGGCCAGCTGTCTTCTAATTCATTTCACTCATCCAGTTTTGTAATTCGATATCCTTAAACCTTTGCCTTATTGTGTCTACAATTCCCAAATCCATATAGCGTGCTTTTATCCAAAGTTGTCCTAGCCCTATCTTGTCTAATGAGCTTCTTACCGTTTTGCTCCAGAAAGCCTTCTTTTTGTTCCTTTCATAGCATCGTATGCTATTTGCGAGAGTATATTTTCTTTTATGATTAGAGTTATTCAGAACTTAAAGTTCCTACAATGGGCTTCAGTTTCCATTGGGAGCCACGCAGTTATGAGGCCATCTACCTGTAAACAAAAAAAACGTCGGATTATAAGCCCCCGAGATATAAGCCCGCCTCTAGCTTGTATTGAAATGAATTCCATTTCTAAAATCTTTGCGCGATCTAGCTTAGCAATGAGACGCTTAGCGATAGCAATGGACTTAAGCAATTGCTCTGAGATTTTAAGCGATAGCGACTGGTCTTTAAGCGATAGCCCCGACATTATATTTTTGACACGCGATTAATTAGCAACGGCCCTGAGATTTTAAGCGACAGAACTCTGTATTTATTGATGGCCCTGAGATTTTTAGCGGTAAAAACTGCAAGTTTAGACACAAATAACGCGTCATAAAACACGACAGCTTCTTTAGGATATTTAGTGAAAACAGGCTTTTGCCTTCACAAATAAAGAACGGACGGATCGGGAAAACACTACTCTTGGAAAGGCCTTTTCCTGGGGACACTCGCTGGCTGCGGGAAGGCACGGAATCTCTTACGCCTGCTGAATACCCTTGAGACAATGATTACAATAGAACTTGGCTCCAATGTAGAAGATTAATCCAAGACCATATTGCGTGTACCGTCAAAACGTAACCAAGACTAGATGGACCTGCATGTAAGCGAAGAAGCTCCTTCAAATGATTCGTATTTAAGCCTAGGCTAGAGAGGCGATACAGATTGCATCACAACTCAACGAGTCAAATTACAGAGCACAACTGTCATTTCTAAAAGACTATTGGTGGAAACCTAAGCTTGTTTTGAAACATTATTACTTCCACAAGCTACACAGCTGGATAACGGCTTCTTACAGGTTGATTACAGCTTGAAGACTAGATACAGTTATGACTTGACGAATAAGTTTACGCTCAATAAATCAACAGGATGTTTACGGCTTGAAGAAGTTAAGAGTAATGAATAAAGGATTTCTACATTGGCTTTTCATATTTTTTATCAGCGAAAGCAAAATAACTAAACAACAATAAATCCACTCTTCACTATTTAAAGTGTTTTAGCAATGAAAGGTAAGATTTCTGTGAAGCTCATCAATTTATTATGCGTTCAGCAATCTTAAATTATTTCACACCAATAATTCATGGCGGAGCCCCATTGCTATACAAATTGGAAACTAAAAGCGAAAAAAATGGTTATGACGTCAGCGTACTGCCGTCCGCGCGTACAGACAATAGAGGAAGTGGGCTGGGTCGGCGACGTAACCTGTGCAATAATTCCTCCTTCAAGCCTATTACCGAGATCAGCTTGAATATATTTTTTACCACATAGAATTTTCAAGTGAAGAATTATTTATTAACCTTAGGTCTGTTGGTATGATATCTTCTTTTTCGTTATATCATCTAACCCTCCTCTTTAGCGTTAATTTGCAATTTGCCTCAGTGCCAAGATGGCGTAAAAAATGATATGAATAAAAATTTCCGTGCATTTAAAGATGCTTTAAGAACTTAAACACACGAAAAGAATACATCGAGAAGGTTTTTGAACAGGTATTTTGTACACAAATTCAGAAAATTGTAAATTTTAGCCAAAATTTGTGCTCTGAACGTTCCAGTACGTGAAGTTCTCGATACGATAAACAAGTCAAAAACCCACTATGGTGAGCGTATTAAATTTGTGGACAAACCGCGCGTGAAGTTGTAATTTCACCCGTCACCATTTTATTACACATACTTGTTATCAATATACAGACGGAAGGTTCGTTTTATATATTAACCTTGCCAACTCTAAAAATTGATACCATCTAGGTAAAAGGTTAGTGGTAGAAATCGTCCATAAGCGTTAATAGTGCTTAAGTCCTTTCCCTCTGTAAATTTTTATGCCAAATAATTAACTACATCATATACAGAGGCAGAACGGACATCAATGTGTTTTTGATCACGTGCTAGACCACAAACGCCAGGATAGCTCATAGGAACCAGAGGAACCTTTGCGGGTGGTTTGCCCAAATTGCCTATTCTTCACCCAGAGGCAGAACTGGGAAAGACTAGACCGCTGGATAACCCAAAAAACAATCTAGGTATTGCATTTCCTTTGGATTAGCCGGAAGAATAACCGGTAGCTTTTTCGTTTTTGTCGAAAACAAAGGGCACGGCAAGTGCCGTATCCTGCGGATTGAGCGAGTGCTTTACGCCATCAATCATCATTTCCAAGTGGGAAGCAGCTAATGACGAGTTTTTTGTTCTGTTGACTATGAATTTGCTTTTTATTTCGAGTGAAGCAATAAAGGTAATTGTTATATTTAGGCGGCATTTATGACGAGTAATTTTGATGTAGTGTGCTCATGGGTTAATTGCACGCAGTAACCAACTCGAAATGCTAAAGTGCTTCGGTCACTGCTCAAACATTACTTTCTTTGTTATTTGGAACACTTTTACCGTGGTTAAACACCCTTTTGCCACAGGAAATTAATTTGCTGTTGTGCCTAAGACCAGACCTTTCTAACTTAGATAAACTACCTTGGGAAATATCCATGGATACGTCAAAGAGAACAGAGAAACCTCCCATGACATTAAAGAAAGCCAATCAGCATGCTCCATTTCACACCAACGTGAAACCGAAAAGAAAATTGTTCATTGACCGATTTCCTTCGCGCTATTTCGGCAAAGATCAATGATTTTATCTTACTGCGAGGAAAGTGAAATGAAAATTTTTAGGGGTATTTTTAGCTGGTTTTAAGGGAACGATTTTACGACAAATCCGCAAAAATATGTCCTTTTCCTGGCAGAAATGCGAAATGTGATCCACTACGGGATTGTGTATGTGTAACCACACACCTATTGTAATATCTATTTATAAAATTTGTCAGTAGTGCAAGATAACAAAAACAATGGATCTGAATCGGAATATGAATTTTTGGCAAAACCAATGCGGTTTCATTGAAAAGTAAAAGACGGACGTAAAAAACCTAATAATTCTGAAGAGGAATTTCATTTTGCAAAGAAAGTTCAGTTTTGTTAAAAAATGAAATACGAACTAAAAAATCAAATTATGTGAAAGTGAAATGTTTTTGTGCTGTACAATCCGGTTTACTGAAAAGTGAAAGACCGACCAGAAGGTCAAATTATCTTTTGAAATTCATTCTTGCGAATACAATTCGGTTTTGCAAAAAAGTGAAAGATAAACTAAAAAATAAATACATAAATAAATTTACCCAATGAGCCATTAGGCGTTTTTAGACAATATCATATCTCGCTGTCTTTCATCAAGGATGTGTCATTGTCTAACATAACAGATGATCTATGTTTTAAAAATATGTCCACAGGAAACTGCAATTCCGGCTTTCAGTTTTCTGTTGTTGTTGTTGTTGTTTTGTTTTGCTTTCTACTTTGTGGGACTTGAGGCTGTTCAAAATAGCCAGTGTCCCGGTAACGCTTAATAAAATGTCTTTCAGTTTGCGTCATGTGCCTATGACCACGTGATTATCCACACGCTATATATATTCGGTAAACACCCCTGGCAAATCATCACATCAAGGTGAGGCGCAGAGAAACAGGTCTAAAGTCGACGAGTAAGAGATTTTCAAGAAATCAGGTAGGCTTAACTATCTATTCTGTCTAGATTGGTTATTCAGTCATCGTTTTTCTCATGTCCAGCGAGACATTTCTTGTAAACATTTTCTGACGGGTTGATGTACTGAACAACGTCTTCTAGTCTTTTTTCCCGCGGTTAGCATTTCGTTCGGTACCGTGTAAGCGTAATCTAAACGGGTAATTACATTTTGGTTGTAAAATTATTCTGTGGATGGAAAATTGTCTTCAATATATCCGAAACATTTATCCGTCCAATTCTCCGTCAACAACGACGAGAAAATAAGACGAAAAACTGCCTTAAAATTACGTTAAAGGAGAGAACCAGGGATAAGAATGGAACAAAAAACAACAACATCCAAAGCGGTTTGCCAAAAAGGATACCTCGGAATGAATTTCAGAAAAAAAGAGAAAAAACAACAACCAAACATATTTGATCTGAGAAAGAAAGTCCTTCTAGTGGCTATGCTCATTGTAAATCCAACTATCAAGTAAATTAAAATCTGGGTTGTGGAAATGAAGAACTATAAAAGCCTTATTGTAACTGTGCTTCTAATTTGTGTATCCATTTCATTTTACCGTTTTAAGTTGGTTTGGTTGCCGAGTTTAATTTTTTTTTTACCTTAATATTTACATCAGGGGGTATTCTTTCAAATTGACATTCTGCAAAGGATGTATAGCTTATTTGCGTTTTAGCCATGCAGAAATTTTGCAGTCCTCGATGGCTGATGTTTCGTTAAGACTATATCGAATGCTAGTTCCTTTTACCTTTGAAATTGATTGGTGAAATGTACTACAGCTCTTCCTCAATTAGGTTTGTATGCTAGCGAATTATTGTACCTCTGTAATGTGGAAAATGAAGTACTTGAAATCGAAGATCGAAGCGCGCACTGCTTCTTCTCTTATCTTTAAAACTCTGTCCATCCCGGCCTCACTTGACATTGCATACCATAATGTTCTATCATCAACATATTGTATCTTCATGAACTTACATTTTGCAGTGGGGGAGGGTGCACGAGAAGAATTACCCACCCCTTGTTACAAAAGTTTTCTTTGTGAAGTGGGTCATCAACAAACTATTTATAATCATTGAACATAGCACGAATATCTTTGTCGATAACAAAATTAATTTACGCGGTATTTCGGTTTCTACATAGGCGAATTAATCATGACGTCTTGTTCTTCCATTTCGGTGGTTCACAAGGTAATGGTTACAACATGATAGGTAAAGTTGTATTGGTCTTAACAATATTTAGTCAAAGGTAAGACTTAACGGGCTGCTATGACAGGCCGCGAATGTTGACACGGCCCGCAGTCTAAAAACTATTCTGTATATTTGTTCATTATACCAAGAAGCGTTGATTCTAGGATTAAAAGTTGCAACTATAAACTCTAAAGTGCATTAGAATTATAAACTACTGATTGTTAATATCTTGATTGTTGTCTACCTTTATAGAGTAGAATTGAACCTTATATTGACCGTATGTTTTCTGGTAATTCAGACTACACTCTTCTATTATAAAAAAGAAACAACGGATATTAAACACCTTTTTAATTAAATGACAAAAATTAGGATCATATCTTAATATTACGCTTGTATACAAGCCTTATTGTAATAACCTGAATCGCAGTTTACTCTAGTTTGACTGCTGCATGAGGATAGAAGTAATTAACACATATCAACCATACTTCTTCCCCAGATTGGAACCAATGTAGCAACTGAGAGCGAAGAAGATAAGGCTTTGAAAGGTAAGGATATTTACAACTGAAGTAGAATATGCTGAAGTACTAACAACAACAACAAGCTTTATCATGCGAAAGAAATTTTTCTTTCTTTTTATCGGCCGAGAGCCCACCACGTGACCTGCAAATAACTGCCTACAAATAATGGTCTGCTCATGTGCAATGCCGTCCAACAGTGTTTGGCTGCAAATAATATTCTGCTCATGCGTAAAGAAAACCGTGCTTTTCTCCTTCTTGCGATTGCTCTTGCGTGAAAAATGGCAGATCTCTTCGCTTCCCAAGGATATTCATTAAAAAAACAAACTCGGTGATCGAATGATAAAACAATTATTGCACTCGGTTATCGCAAAATATCATCAAATATCATCAATTGATCTTCTCGCCACAGACAAATCACGATATTTTGGTCAACCTCGTCCAATAATTGTGAGTTATTTGCATGACCATACAAATGCATACAGTATTGCCAAAGCGATTTAAGAGAAAAAAGAACCAATATTTCATCACAGGACAATTAAGACACTTTATACTGTAACAATTCGTTGCGACAATCAAAGCAAACTGAAGTATATTTCATGAATTGTATATTGATAAAGCAATTATATGAGTTCATCAGTCCGTTATGGGTAACTGGGTAACAGCTGGAATCAGAGTCTTGATTCAAGTGTAAACTTATCCTAATCCGGGAAAGAGTGTCTAAAACGACCAAAAAGAAAGTAAACTAATTAACTTGGCTTAGATACACAAAGAGGGCAATATCCATTATCGCTAGTAGAAAATGTATCTACCAGGTTCTATCATAAGTTCCTCTCGTTAAGTCTAGGTAATTAGGAGTGGTCTGATCCTTTTAAAAGATCTGTAAAATTCTAGTTTTTGAGAATGTTGAAGGTACTATGGCAAAGTGATATAGACAATGAAGTAAAACAGAAGACTACGTAAATATGCGCGAACAATAACGCAATTATTGAATTGCTAAGGTTTTGTCCCTTAGCAAGTACTACACTGAAACGAATGGTGGATTTGCGCGCATTTTCTCATTTTCCCTCAGTGTTGGTCCTGTTTTTCATGGACAAATCGTGTTATTCCCTTGCTAACAAGCCTGTGATCATGATTTACATTTGAAAAACAAGAACGTTGGTAATAACACAAGATTTCCTCCAGCCTCGTTCCTATTAAATGGCCAGATCATTGAGACAACTGTAGAATGGCCCTGAATGAATATGTAAAGTTCTAATTATTTTCGATTTGATTAATTTTTAGCCGCCGCACAGGCCCACAGTAAGAAGGGTAATGAAGCATTCAGTAGCAAAGATTACACAAATGCCATCCACTTTTATACTGAGGGAATTAAGGAGAGATGCAGAGATACCGGCCTCCAGGCTCTACTGTACACCAACCGAGCAGCAGCAAACTTTAATCTAGGTAAGGCTTTTGTTATTTTAGCAAAAGAGTGTTGCTTTTTATCTTCGAGTGTTGTGTTCTTTAAAAAATCATTCTTCTTTACTGTGAAGGTCATTAAATTGTGAACACCAGAAATATTTTTGGAATGTCGTTGTGTTGCTCAGAAAGAGTCAATCAAGCCGCACGCACTAACGTTAACAAGATCACAATAATTGGGGTAGATTGGGCTGCTGCTCCGTCGAACAGAAACATATTCACCTGGATAGTTAAAAGAGCTTTAAATGAAATATCAAACAAAAGTTAAAGTTAATTTGCTTTACGAGTTTCAAGAAACTGCTGTATAACAGTGTTTTAAAACACCAAAAGTTGACCTTGTCATCGTAGAACAATATTAATTTTCGGGCACTGTTATGTTATATTTTTTGGGATGAAGTGCATTTGTGGAAATCTCCCAGTTTAAATAATACCTATATTCTCCCTTTTCAAAAGGGTCAATTGTTTTTTTATATTTCTGTTCACATTGGTGGAACTGATGCTGTCCATTTTTTCTTGTTTCTATCTGAAATGACCACCCCCTCCCCTCAAAAGACAAATTAAATGTAGGACTATTACATTCACGCCAGAATATTGTTTTCGGTATAACTCTGTTGGAAGTTGTGAATACATGAAAATCATATAGCTATAACTCTGTTTGTAAGTATTTTTTTAAATGACCTACCCTTTTTGCTGCATAGAAGAGGCCACTCATTTTTAGATCGGTCTTTGCCACGGGCAGCGTAATAATTAGTTTGTGTTTTTATGGCTTTCTCGCGTGCCCTGATCTTTTATCTGATTGATCATATACTCCATTAACATTCCTTTTGATGCGCTTAGTGACTTGTTTCTCCAACGTCAAAACCTTGAATCAGTATGTAATTCTTCATTCTGTTCCTCGTTCATTTGATCGAGTACTCATGAGGGGAACTTTACCATCAAGACCTCGTGATCATTTTCTTTATTCTGATGATAATTACGTTTGATTGCGCAGCAATTCTATTGGAGAAATAAGATGGAAATTAGTCTGTCACGCAATATAGAACCCAAATTCAAGATTCAGGAATAGACCAACAAATCAAGTGAAAGATAACTAACCGCTAAAAGCTGAGGGGATAAACAACACAGGAAATACACAATAAGTCACGGGGTGTTACTTCTGAAACATGTTAGGTTGAAATTGAATGTGATATGTCCAGGCCAGGCCTTTAGATTTATGCTGGCGAAACAAGGTTTTTCATAACTTATAGAAGAAATGTATTTTTTTCAATCGTTCAGTTTCATGAAGAGTAATCGGTAAAACTATACTGCAATGACACAGTCGCCAAAAGGTTGTTGTAGTGAGTTTCATTGGTATTTACTGACTCTTTGATGACTTTTGTCTTGCCTGCTTTGCCAATTTGTATTTGCAATGGCCTTTTCTTACCTATCTCGTTGGTTTAAGTTATGGCTGACTTTTGGCATCCTTTATTTTTTCACAGGAAATTTCATCGACGCACTGAACGATGCAAAGATGGCCATTGACAAACGACCATTGTCACTGTCAGCAATATTGGCAGGTAATTTATGCCCTAGCGATGAGGGGAATATTGGGTCTTGTGTCGAAAACCGCAAAACGAAAACGCAATGAAAACCAGTGAAACCGAAAACTACGGCATTTAATTTGGTAGAAGATGGAAAATTTAAAAGTTATATTCTTGTTTCAAAAGAACAGACGAAAGTGTTTGTGAAGCTTATCCAAACTTTTAGGAGATTATTTTCGAATAAGCCAGCTAAGCAAAACCGAGAACGAAAATCACTTACGAGAATAAAATAGACCATTATTTATCAAAACTGTACGTCAAAAATAAGGCCAATGACAAGTAGACTCAAAGAGGAAAGAATACATATTTCAAGAGCTTTGTGGAAGAATATTGTTAGGGGGGAAGGGGACTTAAAAGGTTTCATAACCTCATTTTAGACCGCAAGTGTTCAACGCTCATTTAGGAACAGCAAAGGTAAAGTAAATCCTTAACGAATGAGAAAAAGAAGCAATTACATCGTATGAGTGCAAAGAAATAATCTTGTATCTTGTAAGGCCCGGGCCAAACGTCGTACTTATGTCGCACCAAACTCATTTCACAATAATTAGCACTAGATATACTCTGTCGGGTTGGAGTTGTGTAGGATAAATTCAGGAGTTTTGTTTCAAGAGTCGTGCTTGACTTCTTTATAATTCATGGATAATTCTTGTAATGTATTCGCCATCAGCCATCATCAGTGATCATGTTTTTTTTCATCTTGGATCCTCTGATCTTACCCGAACGAATTTCCTTCGACGTTTGAATCAACTATCAAGTTCCACCTGAATTCTTCTCTTGAGTCTCAGTGAATTATATACGGAAGTCAGGGCTTTTTTGCAATTTTATTAAGTTGAATATATGTTAACACATTTTCAGGAGCGAGTGCCTCTGCTAAGTTATGCCAGTTTGAACAAGCGATTGCGTGGTGCAATGCAGGAATAGAAGTATCCTTTTGCGTTTCATCTGTGTGGTTCCAAGATAATTCGTCTTATTTATTTACTATGGGCATAACTCTTTCGTTTTAGGTTGCACAACTAAAATGCGTAGACATTGCCCCACTCTTTCATGAACACACTTCACAATAAAATCATGACTTACAAGAATTCCTTTAAGACGGATGAAACTATAGTGCTGAGAAGCTTTCAGTGAATTTTTCCTTCAATTATTTGATAACGTACCTCTATATATTTTCCATTAACGCTTAGTAAGAAATAATCTAAGATTTTAATCTTTGAATTTGTACTTATCTCTCGATATTCAGTAGACAAGTGTTAGAATTTTGCTTATATTACTCCAGTTAAGTTTTTGTTCTGTGTCGTGTTAACATGTTCCCCTGTCATCACTATTCAATAATCATTAGTTTAATGATCAGGGTTACGAAACTGAGTGAATCACGTTCCATTTAGGGTCATTATACTAGGAAAATTGACCTGAAACTTGATTCACCCAGATTCCTTACCTTAATCACTATACTTCAGAGTCATTTGGCGTTCTGCAAAATACCCCTGCCGGACGAAAAACGTCTTAATTACAATTTCAAACTAAATTTACACCTTAACAGTTTCAAAAGATTGACAAGGAGAACGCAAAGTTGCTAGAACTTGGTAAATTGGTGGCAGAATTCGCAGAAGGGGAAAACAACGTGCCAGGAACTACAGCCACAGGCAACGAGGTATTCAGCTCTTTTTTTTCTTTAAACAATCGAAAACTTCTAGCATGGTTGCCACTGGTCAGAAAATGGTCGGGGGAAAAAATTCTTCAAGGTCAGGGAAAAGTCAGGAAATTTCGCTTCCAGTCATGGAAAATTTAAGTCTTTGAAAGAAGTCAGAAAGAGTGGAGTTTTAAAATTACGTAATTCCTTTTCCTCACTGTTATTGTTTTCTAACTTTAAAAATTCTTTGTTTCATTTTACGGACATGAATTTTGTTATATTGGTAGAATATTTTTCGGAAAAATTGAACAATAAGCTGATGGTTAGTTTTGAGAAAATCAATCCTGTTTGCCACTTTATACTAAGGAATTCTCAATTCATATAAACTGTTTGTGACTTGCTTAAAGCATAAATTAATTTGGTTGAAAGGATGACTGTGAGAGGTAGGTTTCCTCCGTTTTCAACAATAATTTTCTAAAAATGTTAATTCAGTTGGTCAGGGAATTTAAGAAACTTCGGGCTCTGGTAACCATGCAGGCTGGTTATTCATAAGTTGAACCTACTTATTAGTTAACGTAATAAATATTTAATGCATTATGTTAATTCAAAATTAAGTAATGTTAGTTATAACACGAACAGCAGTGTTTTATCACCATAAAAATTCGAGTGCCTGAATATTTACAGCGTTGTATCGCGCTGCGCGTTTTGCAGACTTCGAAGGGATTTTGAGTTTTTCTGTTCCGTCAATCATTTTAGTGAAGGCGGGGTTAATGCAAATCACAATGTAACGCGCTGGCCCAGTTTGGCTGAGAATGACTCTGTACTGCTCAAGAATAGCGAAGGAAATCGCGATGGTGATGTGGATTGTTTGTCGAAGGAAGGAGGCGGACGTTGCTTTATTCTTTCAAGTGACAAGAATGAGAAAGATCATAAAAATCTGCAAAGCAAACTTAACTAGTCGATTATTGCCCTAAACAGGACGATCACAAAGCAACGAACCTTGAAACACGAAACAAACAAAACGGATCGAAATCACGAATCACAAACCATGATCGTTTGAACTCGTGCAAGTATATAGGTGTTTCCTAAGAGGTCCGCTAAGATGACTGACGGAACAGAAAAACCCAAAATATGCAAAACCCACAGCGCGATACAACGAATTTCGCTATAAGAAGGGATAAAACACGTGCTGTGCGTGTTTTGAATAGCTTCAAAAACGTCCTCAGAGTATTCATTTAGATAGGATTGCCAAACAATTTATTGTTCATTGAAAAATGCAGGGAAAAAGCAGCCAAATATAAAAATGTTATGATCAAACAAAGTTTTCGAATACATCGTGCAGCTGTTAAGTACACAGTTTTAAGCGTCTTCTTGCCTACATGATAAGGCTATCCAGATGTCAGAAATTTTCACGGTTAATAAACGCTCATGAGGGAAAATTACTCTAGGAGAGTGTCGCCTTTCAGTATATTTAATTTAAGTGTTTTGCTCTACCCGCCTTGATTGGTCCTGCTATTTAACAATTATTCCACCAGTGCGCGTTGGATATGAGACGAGGCGCGCAGCGCCTCGTTGGCTATAATCATCTCATATCCAACAACCACGAGTGGAATAATTGTTTTATTTAAAATGCTCACAAAGTATCGAGAATTCGACCCGACTTCCAACAACCGATTTCCAGCTTTTTTTCAATTTTGGGCAGACGCGTACAGTTACCGTATTTGGAGAGCCTGCTATAATGGCTCATATACCTTCATGGCTAAGCCAGTCAGAACTCTAGAATTGCATTATCCAATGATTCAGTTTTTAATAATTGTGGTAAGAGCAGTTTTCAAGATACTGAACTAAACTCTTTCAACTGCCACACGACATATTGGTCAGTAATAATACTTTGTACCTCGTTCTAGAATAAGTTCTGACCGGTCGACGGTTATTTGTTGTTGTTTTTTTTTGTTGTTGTTCGTCTTCAGGATATATTTTCTTACTTTGTTTTCCTTTCATTAATTTGCAAATTATAGCAGGACTGATTTACATTAAAGTTCATGCGTACAAATTGTTACTCTGTATAAAATGTTCATCCTAATTAGCATTCCATTGTTTCAGCCATTCAATGCAGGTTTTATTATTGATTGAATTCGTGAATTCAGTTAGACAATGTGCCTACTGAATATTAATGAGTTTTCGAAGAGCTCTTTACAAATCTCCCCGGCAAGATTCAGGAAACCTTTATACAGTTTAAACTCCAAATACGATCACCTCCCATAAGCAACCAACAATTCATCCACTAACATATTCCCTGTAAATTCTAGTTGGAACCTCTAGTAAACAACCACCTCTCGTCAGCGACCGTGTTCACGAAACCCGCTTGCCATTCAATAAGCTCGCTAAGATGGGTGCCCTTTTCGAAAAACCTGTTGACTGGTAGTAGCCAAAAATCCATGACCATCGAACAGCAGTATCGGATTGTCTTTTGCTGCGTTCAATTGCGTATTAATGGTACCAATTGTTTTTCCTGTCGGATAGGATTTAAACAACTTGCTGTCCGAGTTGGAATTGAGTGAAGCTAAAGAAGCCGGTGACGGGGATGGATCTAAAGGAAGTGCGTATGACCACCTTGGCAGTCTGTATCGCTCTCTCGGTGATTTCCAAAAAGGAATCGAGTTCCATCAGCAAGCTCTTAAAATTGCAAAAGAGACTGAAGACAAACGCGTGCAAAGAAGAGCGCTTGAAAACCTTGGTCTCGCCTATCGCGCCCTGGGCCTATTTCGAAAGGCAGTCAAGTTCCATCATCAAGCTCTCGTTGCCGCCAAAGGGATTGGAAACAGAGATTCCGTATCAAGAGCGTATAACAACCTTGGTGTCGCCTATGTCCTTCTTGGTGATTTCAAAAAGGCAATCGACGCCCACAAGAATGCTCTTAGAGTTGCAAGAGAGACTGGAAACAAGCATTTAGAAGAACTGATATTGATGAACCTTGGGATTGATTTCTATTCATCCCGCGATTTCACCAAAGGAGAGGAGTACTTAAAATCCACTCCAAAATTGTTCGAGAAGATAAAGGATGCTATTCGACTGGACGACGAATGGGACGACGAGATTCAGGCTCAATACAATAAAGCTGATAGATTCCTGTGGAGGTTTTATCTACGACAAGGCAAGACCATGGAGACGTTGTTAACAGCCGACAGGGAACGAACTCAAGCCCTGACGAAGCACATGGCAGGACGATATTGTCTGGATTTAATACGATTACCCGAAGAAAAGCACTTGGAAGGAATCTCTAGGTTGTTTACCCGCACTCCAACTACTACAATATATCTCACAGAAGCCGCCGAATCTCTGAATTTCTGGGTACTCCGGAAGGGCCAGCAATGTTTGTTTTTACAAAAGAAGCTTAGTCAGACCCTGTTATATCTGACCGATAGAGCATACGAGCAGCTTGCTTTCACTAAAAAGCCACCTATCGAGGACCGCTCCATGGATGGGCCTGAAGAAGACGCAGACCTCGAACAGTTATACTCTATAGATCTCAAATGGAAGCAAGTCCCCCAAGATGCTCTAAAGGCATTGTATGACGCGGTCATTACTCCGATTTCACATTTGATAGAGGGAGAGGAGGTTGTCATTGTTGGCGATCGTTTATCTCTCTTGATTCCTTATGCTGTCCTTGAAGACCAACATTCCAGATATTTGTCTCAAACACTGAGGGTTCGACTGGCTCCATCGCTGACCAGCTTGAGGCGGCCGGCATATCCAGAAGGGGACCGTAGACTGTCTAGTATACTGCTTGTTGGTGACCCATCGGTAAAAAACCTATACTTCAAAGACAGAAGTTTTAACCAGCTTGCAGGTGCTGAGAAAGAAGTTGACGCCATTGGAAGGCTCCTGAACGTCGAACCGCTCACTGGAAAGAACGCCACCAAAGATCGAGTGTTGAGCAGGCTTCAGTCTGCATCCTTGGTACACTTTGCTACTCACAGCCGTAAAGGAAACGGTGAAATTTTCTTGACCCCAAATCCTGCAAAATTCAAACCTTTTTTGGAGACCTTTCTTTTGTCGACAGAAGATGTGCTGAAAGTACGAATGCAAGCGAAGCTTGTCGTCTTGAGCTACAGCAACAGTGCAAGAGGGATGAGAACAAACGACCAATGCGTGCTTGGTATCGCACACGCCTTTTTAGCAGCCGGTGCACGTTGTGTTATTGGGTCACTGTGGCCTATTAACGACACTGTCACCGTGCAGTTAATGACGCAGTTCTACGAAAACCTGGTAGATGGGCAAAGTGCAAGCCTGGCCCTCAATAACGCCATGGCGAAGATACGTGAGACGAACGACTACAGTGCCCCGAGATTCTGGGCCCCGTTCGTGGTGATGGGCGAAGACGTGACAGTGAGTTTTGCTTAGTGAAGGTGAGGATACTACTTAAAGATAAAGTAGATTCTCTCGTGCTTAAAACATTCAATTTAAAAACCTTGATCTCAAGATTTGAATGAAAACTAAAATTTTTGATGATTAGAGACAATAGAAACGAAAACTACTTATTGTATACATCGGCGCTTGAGGTTTTGTTTCTCATGGTCGAAATCAATAACCTGGTAGCCTGTGCAAACAAAAAATACTTTTGTTTCCTTCAATAACCTCATAGGTTAACGGGCATTTCCCCAGTTCATAAACCACCCGGATTCACCTCTTGTTTTTAAGTTAATATGGCACCTCTACTCGTCTATTAAAAATTACTTATTAAACGTTTTCTTTATTTTCTTTCAGGAATGTGGCAGCCAAGTAAAATGTATGATTTAGTTTTTAACAAACTTTTTGTGCCTAAAGAAAGGAGTTTAAGATGGCGCGATAGCAACGAAAGAGAGAACGGCAGAAAAATAAAGCCTTTCTAGAATTACGTTTTTTTAAGGTAATTTGTCTGCCGCTGTCTGCAAACAATCAAAGACGTGGCGGTTAATTTTGCTTTCTCTTTAATATCTTCAATTTTTTTTCCTCAAAACCCCACCAACGAAGAAGGCACTGCTTGAATAAATTGAAACGATTCTAAAACGATTAAAAAGAAGTTGAGTTTTTTTTTCTCTGTTGTTGTCATCATCTTATCTTAATCTCCTTACAAATTTGTTTCTAATTTTCTTATTTAAAAAGGGCGTCGTGAATCCGTTTCCACTGTAGAGTAAATGAATAAATACTCGTTAGTCCTTGAATTTTATTCTTCAAGTAGATGAATTTAATGTTAAATATGGGTTTATCTTATCAGTTAAGCCAATTTTAACTCGTGAAATAACTCAAGTGTAGTTTTTTGGTATATATTTTTTAATATCAACATGCGTCAGCCTTTCATCAACTTTTGTGCGCTTCTTGCAAAAGGTGCGCCATTTATGGCCCCCTGAAAAGTATCTAAAATCTTACGACATCGTTGGACGGATAAAGGAGTCATTTTGAAAGGTATCAAAAGTTGAAAATCATTTAAACGTTATCTCACATCATCCAATATCTTCCGAAAAGACGTTGGCAGGAATCTCGTTAACGCGTTGCATAGAATCTGTACCATCATGTTGGGGCTCCATTTAAATGGGCCCTGACACTGTGATTGTCCCAAGACAGACATTGAATTTTAGGTGGTCGACGGTCATCTTTAGTTGGTAACCCGCATACACTGTTACCCTCTATGTCTGGCTCTTGCGATGATGATCTTTCTTTATGAGATCTCGAAGTAGCCAGTTAAAGCGTGTGGTTTTGGAAGGAAGTTCTAGGTGTATAATAAAATCAGGCTATAAAGTTTTGTTTATAACTATAATGCTACACGCGTTCTGGCTGGTTCAACTCTCTCTCTTTTTTTTTTTTACAATGGTTTATAATAACGATAATAGGTACATTTTAACAGGACACCTCCATCGCAAAAATTAGTCTTGAGTGAGGTCCCTGTACGAAAGAAAAATATCTAAACTAAGAATACTTAAAAATAAAAGCCAAATATTATAATTTTCGATAAGAGCTTTATGGACTCTGCTTGCAAATTAAACCGACGCGAGGAAGTAGAACTTACGAAAAGCTAGTTACTGTCACTTGCCTTAGTTCTACGTACGATTTATAACTTTGGCAATCCAAAAGCAACTTATGTGTATCGCTCAATAACATAGAATAGGCCGTGTCATAGTTTAATTTAGTTGTTGTATTTAAGCTTATTAAGGTTGCATTTGAGCCTTTCTACTGATAGTTGTCTACTAAGGTTTTGTAGAAAGGTGGAGCGGGGTTTCTCTCATATGAGAAACGGTGGTAATTTACCTTAGAACTCATAATCATATTTTATTCATATTTGTGACATACCACATGGTACCAACAGTTTAATATGAGATTACTCCCTTCAATCGTTAAGTTAACAGAAAGCTCGTGGCAACCGGAGTGATTGATTTTATCGTTGTTGTAAAAATTAGCGTGGTCGAACGAGCCTAAAAATGTCAGCTCAATCCTAAAGTTTTCATTTCCGCTGATCAAGATGAATACCTGTCTGGTTATACAGTGAAGAACGAGTTTAAACATGTCAGCTCAATCCTAAAGTTTTCATTTCCACTGATCAAGATAAATACCTGTCTATCTGGTTATACAGTGAAGAATTTTTCAAAACGTTTGAAAACGGGGAAATGCGAACTTTTCAAGGCAATCTGTAATTTCAAAAAGTGATTCATATCGCTTTGGTTATCGTTTGACCACCATGGAGCTTAGATGAGTGAATAAGTTAAAGAGAATCACTAGGCCTTGAGAATATCATTTTTTTTATTATTGTAAAATTTCTCGAATATAAAATTAAATGATGTAAATGAAGAAGTAAGATTGTTATCTTTGGTTACGTGTTCTTCGATTTCCCAACGTTTTCAAAGACCAGCCGAGTGGAGGACGGGGGGAGGGGGTGTACAAAACTAAAGTTTTGCTTCTCATCCAACCCATTTCCTTTTCCTATAACCTACCAGGTACCTCTTTCGTCTACTTTCCAGCTAAAAAATGATACCCATTTACATACCCACTCAGGAACAGTGCATCCGTTTTCCAAGGTTAACTAATCAGTGATATTATGGAAGAACAGCGAAAGGGTGTTGCGTTGAAAATGGTTTAATTGAAGGTCCATTCTCAAATGCCCGATTTCCATACCCTGTCATGCACTTGAACTCGTGAAATCCCTGCCCTTTTGGTACCCCGGAAACCTAGAAAAGGTATCTCTTTCGGGCGAAACCATCCCATATGGGTCACCGTGGGGGATAAACCACCCTTTTCCTCTGTGGGAACAACACTGTGAATGATTTAGTTTTAAAGTCTTGAGATCAGAATCAAATTCTTTTATTCATTGGATTTCTTTGGGACTCTACACAAGGCGGTTAGATGTTTATGATTCTACACGGTGCCAACAGCAAGTGGTAACGTTGCGAGTATGCGCGAGCCGCTGGACGGACGTTTGTGGTGGTATTGGATTGCAGCGAATGCAGCAAAGAAAAATGGCGCCTCTTTTAAAAATTACCATCTTCTTAGTCATCTGTTCTATCTTTGTGGAATGCAGATAAGACAAAGTCTTCTGTGTAATATGCGAGATTGGTCTCAAGGCTGATAAGTCGCAGATCATTCACAATTTTGCGCTTCGATGGGGTTCTGTGTAACTGCTGCAAAACTCCTCTATTAAAGCACTGGATAACTGAGAAAAAATCTCTTCATGTATAAAGTACAAAACGTTCGATGCTTAAGACTTGAATAAAACGCTGTGAAAAAAAAATTCTAAATGCTAGTCTGTTTATGTAGTCATAATTGCAGTTCTTGCGACAATCTCTTTGCAATAATACGATTTCACGTCAGTTATGGTTCAGGAACCAGGGGCACCCAACGAGAATATAGTTCAAAACCGCTTAAACATAGCATTGTTAAACGTATTTTAGTATTTAAACGGTAGATAAAGGCACATTTTTAACCCCTAAAAATTTTTCCTTTGTTCGGATTTCCTAGCTGAAAGTCTAGTGATCCGAAAATTATAGGGATCAAAACTTACCTTTTCGAAAATTTCAGCCAGAAAAAGGGCTCCCGAAAATTCTAGGTGACCTTTTTAGGGTAAAAATCCGTTAAAAATAGGCAATTATACCATTTTTTAGATGTTCGAAAATCCTAGGAGAGGCAGGAAATCGAGAAATTTTACAACAAATGTTTCGAAAATTCTAGATCTCAAATCGTCTTCCGAACAGGTATTTTTCCGAAAATTGTCGTTGGGTGCCCCTAAGGAACGCCCTGTTGTTCAGAGCTGTGCAACCTTAGTGCAGGGATTCTGCCACTGATTACTTTTCAGAGATACCCTATCCTAGCCACCAGTGTCCAGACGAGGTGCAGTGCCCTAATTCTGTGACTGATAAAACTTCAAAGATATCCCACCCAGGGCTATGAAATTGTATGTTTCCATTTTTGACTAGATGATATAAAACTAAAGGCCCAAACTCTAGAAATGACATCTATTAAATGTATGTGATGCCTTAACTTATTCAGGGGTGTAGGCAAAATTTTGTAATATGGAGGCTCTTGAATCCAAGATGCCCCTTATACTTCTAAAATAAAGAATTGTAGATGAGCCAAAACAGGAGTGTGGAACAAGATGTTTCATATTACAGATGTGTTTTATTGAGGTAACCCTAACCCTGAAAAATCCTTCCCTTTACTTCCCACACTTCTACATACTAGAAAATTGCAAATATGCACACAACAGTGAAAATACTTAAAATAGTAAAGATCATAGTCATATCTAAAACTGCATTTTCTCTCTGAGATATTGAAGTGAATTTTCTGCTTCTGGTACTTCCTTGCTTGCACTCATTTTTGCTTTTCATAAATTTTGTTGTTGGTATTTTTTACTGCACATGTTTCAATTATTTAATATATAACTAATAAGGCTTAGCTCCATTGACTAGCCCATATCTATTTGGGGCCAAGTTCTTATGATTTGAAGATTAAGAAATTGAAAATGAGAGAAAATTAGCTCTAACTTTTCCTTTTCATTCAATTTCAACATGAGGAGAACTTAAGGTTAGGGTTAGGGTTAGGGTTCTGGGGCACCAAGGCTATTTGATGCAGTTCAGGATGGAGTGACAGACCCTTCACATTCTGCAGACAGCATAGGGTTAAATAAAAAACAGATAATCGCCATTTTGTACCAGCTCTGCTATGGCTTGAGTGAAAATTGCAACTGGTTTGAATGTGACGATGCAGTCGTCCTCAATGACTATCAGCTGAATGAACAAGGTTTTGTGCTGAGCATCTCATAGGGAGCTCCTGCAACAGGCAAAAGGCAAATGAAATCTTTCATAACTTGTCATCTTGCAACACCAGGAGCATCAATTGCAACTTGTGCAGCCTATGATAGATGACTATAATTATACACTACTTCTGTGTATACACAGCCAAACTGACATTGGCAAGCCAAGTGCTCCTAAATTCATGTGCACAAACACTGAATATATGAGACCCAGAGTATCAAAAGAATTATTTCTATCGGAGAGTGAAAAGTTACCCCTATGGCATTTTGTTGTTGCGCACAACTAGCGATACCCCTTTAGATATTCAGGATTTCTAAAGTGTGATGGATACGAATTTATATTCAAGAAGGAAAGAAATCTTTTGTATAGAAAGGGAATAACAACATTTATGATTTTTGTAAGCGTACAAATACATTGGATGTGATGGAGTTAGAATTCTTATGTGGATGCCAACGCAAGGAACCAAATACACTGATTTCATGTCCAGTGCAGTCTGTGCTTCAAACAGGAATGGCAGTCCAGCAAGTGCAAAGCTGAACAAGGGAAAGAATTGTTTTGCGCTTGAACTTGTGGTAGTGTCAAAGTAGGAGTAGTATCGTAATGGTCACATGAAAATGTATTAAATCACACTTATCATCTTTTATAGTAGGGCAGGGAAAAGAATGCACATATGTGTATTTCATATTTTATATTGATTTCAGGTATGTTTCAAGTCATTATGTAAACATTTTAAGCATAACATTAGAGTTCTTTTAGGCGCTAATTTTATATGTATAAACAAATCATCATAGAATAATTATCAGAATAAAATCATCTTCCAAAATGGGGAGGGTTCTTGTCAATGAATCTAAGAGCTTACAGTGCTTGATTATTGAAACGCAAATTCATCA